TAGGATCTAAGGAGGAAAATAAGATTTTCAATAGAATGCTAAAGCTCACTGTCGCTAGAGCATCGCTCACTAGCGCTGTGCTCGGTGCTCACCTAGCGCCTGGTGTTGTGGTTGTTCAGAATTTTTCTCGTTTTGATTAATCCACGCATTTTATTTTAACTAATTTTCATCTTTAGGGCTATTATTAGGGTTTGACATGTACCCTTATAAATAGTCGACTACTCTTTACAAGTTAGAATTGTGTAAGAACACAATATTTATGTAATTTCTCTATCCAATATTAGTGAATAAATTTTTTTATTCCTCTACCAAATTAAATTATTGTTTCTTGTGTTATTATTATTGTGATCAATACTTCATATTGGACCGTATAACCTCGTTCTGTCCCAACAAGTGGTAACAGATCTTTGGTTTGAAATGTTCGAGATTTTTTGTTATTGATGACATTCCACTTTTTTATCATAGCATTAAATTTTCGTTGTAGCAGGTGAAAATGTGAGTAGTACTCGTTCAGATGAATTTTGATGATGCGTGTTGGGATTTGACTACATGCCTACAACTTGAATGATAGAAGAGAAACAATGTAAAGATCGAAGGCCCTTTCACAAATTCATCTTTTGAATAATATTCTTCAAGATGTTCTGAAGGAGAAAACTGCAGCTGCGTTATAGTTGATGTTGGAGCAATGGTGCATGACTAAGAGTTTAACTAGTAAATTGCACCTAAAGCAGCGTTTGTATTCTCATTGCATGACAGAAGACCGATCTCTGGAAGATCACCTAGCTGTTTTTAAACAAATCATTGTTGATTTGGAAATTTTAGATGTAAAGTATGATGAAGAAGATTCGACCTTAATTCTTTTGTTTCATTGCATGCTTCCCTTAGATCGTTTAAAGGCACGATTTTGTATAGCAGTGATATTCTCATCGTTGAAGATGCGTATGATGATTTGTTTTCAAATGAGAAGATGAAATATCTGGTTGGATTTAAAGCTAGAGATGGAGAATGTCTAGTTTTTCACGGTGTGTATGGAAGGGGCAGGTCGAAATCTAATTTCAGTAATCAAGTTTGCTTTTATTGCAAGAAAAAAGGACTTATCAAGAGGATTGAAACAAGTTGCAGAATAAATGAAATTCGGCTACAAATCAAAAGTGAAAGCAATTAGAAACTACAGGTGAAGCCGATTTCGCAGAGAGCTATTTGAGTAATAGAGATATGTTGGCTATTTCCGACGAAGACTTCAAATTGGACGAGGATTGAATTCTTGATTCAGCTTGTGCTTTTCGTATGTGTCCCGACCGGGATTTATTTTCAACATATGAAATAGTTTTGAAAAGTGTCGTAACCAGTTTTGAAAAGAGTTGTGGACATGAAAAACAATGCACCTATCAGGTTACTAGCATTGATAGAAATTTGGAGCTTTAAAAGTTTGCAAAAGTGTCCGTGTTATATTGGAGGGGCGGAAAAAGTTCCAGTTATACATCTTGCAAGGCTATGTAGAATCTGTGAAGAATAGTTAGCAAATGTTTAGTAGCATGGTGGATATTCAGTTTGGTACAATATTATTGGGATTCGGTTTGGGATTAGTGTTGAAAAATACAGCTCAGTCAAGTTCAGAGGTTATCGGTAATGTCATTTTGTTACAATGACCTGTGATGCTATCGTATTCAGTTGCTAAGGACAGACTTGGTGGAGATAAGAACGGGTAAGTTAATTTTTGTTGCATATGCTTTAAGTGTTGTTGAAGACGTTGAGTCTAGCAAATCACCTTCTACAAAAGCATTTCGTGGCGATTCTATTAAGTTTCATCTAATAGATTTTATCATCATTTCTTGCTTGCTCAAAACACAATGGAAGTTCCTACTAGTACTTGGGGGTAAATCAAAGAGCAAGAGCTAGCTCTCAACCCTAGTATATCATGGGAGGCTCAACCTCCCTTATTGCATGGCCCCAATACCCACTGGTGGTGGCGGAGACAAAAAAAAATTTGTTTGAGGGGCCCACCAATAGTCATGGTATTACGATAATTGGCAATCGACAAAATAGCTGTAGCTAACAGAGAGAGCAACATTTTGAGGTAAACAATAAATCTATTGGAATTGAAAATGATAAACTGTTTATTTTTGAAATCTTAGGTTATGTGCAAACTTAATCGTCCTGCAAAGCTTAATCATCCAAAAATTAGCTCGTGCATACATGCGAGGAAACTATAAAGCTAATGTTAATGAAAACATGTAAAAATTGACTAAATGAACAAATGAAACTTACAAATGGGGATTAAGTTCCTAAATGTTGGGTACTAATCGCACAAAATTTTAAAATAAAAAAATGTGAAAAAGGATAGACTCTATGGAAAAGAAGGGAAAAAGGTATCAAAGAATGCTTCTGCTATTGTCTATATTAATTGAACTTACAAAAATTGTGGTATAAAATGTTTAGAGTTACGATAGTTTATTATTTAGAGAAAACAAGACTCAATACCACCCCAATATCGAGGTTATTTTTTTGGTTTCTTGTGGCATTGTCAACAGATGCAATTCATAAAACATATATTCAATTATTAGTCACAACTGAGTAAATATTATTTTATTAGCCATTTATTTGCATTTTTTAAAGAGGATTGGAAAATATATTTTTATCACATTTCTTCTTTGAATTGAACTAAGAACTCTTTGTGCTGGTCGAGAAATGGTGATTATATCTATGAGAGAAGACAAATTTATTTATAAAATAATGTAAAGCCAACCGCAAGATAATATTCAAGGAATAAGAAATGGATTTATATTATCTTTATCAAAATTAACACTTTTTGTTTCATAGCGCTGATATCAGCTTCAACTGATGTATAATTTATCAAATTACTTCCGTAAATTTTGCATTGCAAGAAAACTGTTACTCCTCCTCAGTGAGGCCCAAGTCAAAATTCCACGTAACAATCCACGTTGAAAGAAAAATTAACAAAGAGTCAACTAGTCAAATATAAAAAGATCAAATAAATAGCTGAACCTATTGTGCCCAAGGATGGCCTAAATGGCCGAAGCACGTAAATTTGAAGCGCTTCCTATTAAGTCGAAGTGATACCTAAAGAAGTCAAAGAAGAAAACGAAATTCTGCACACAGAAGACCGATACAAAGCTTCCTCCAACCGAGGCCTTAGTTCATCTGAAGCTCCTGAACTGAAGCTGTCTCTTACAAGATTTGTAGACAGTGTTTAGGAATCATTGATATAACGTTTGAAATAAAGAATTTCAAGTGTGTCAGTATAATGTATAGGACGACTGACTTGTTGTCAATGTATTTATTGTATGATAGACAGTGGTGTGAAGCCTTAGTCAAGGAGATGAGGTCACGTGATTCTGATCCAACATACACCACGTTGGCCGAAACACTGTATATGTGAAGTCTTTGTAAATGAAAAATGGGGATCTTGAAAAATCTAAAAAGAAATACAAAATGGCCTTGTGAGCATTTTTTCTAACACGCACTTTTAAGAGGAAAAATTCTTTATATATCATCTTATTTGTCCCATATTATTAGCTTGATTTTTAGCGGATAATCATAGGCATTTGATTGGTGATTATTGTTAGCGCAATCAACTGTGTTTCACCTGTTAGCAGCGGTAGACCCAACACCCGGCGAGGGGGCGTGGTCGTGAGTGTTGGGCTCTATCAAAACAGTGCACAGGGATGACGAAGAAGAAGACCGGTAACGCGGGAGCAGTGGCGAGGTGAAGTAACAGAACCAGTGCAGTGAAGATAGGGAAGAAGGGGAGATGAAGAAGATGAGTTGTTGGACCCTTTTTTTTTAAAGATCCAGGGCTTTATTTGGTTGGGCCCCCTTTTTTTAAATAATGGCCCATTAAGTGCATTCAATTTGGACAAATTGCTTTGGCATTGCTTATTGCACGACATTTCTGATTTCAAAAGTCAAACATCCAATTCCTAACCCTATATTCTACCTCCCGTCTTGAGTCCTATTACCTCCCACTATTGAAGACGCACACCGCCACTGTCGATAAGTATTTCTTTACAAATTACCATATGATTTTTTATGTGAAGTGTTTTAGCCAAGACGAACGAGTTTTAAACATTTCGAGTTGAGAGAAGTAAATTCTTGTGGAAATTTGAAAATGATAGTTGGAAAATTATGTTTATGGCTACAATCAAAGATTGTACGATTTTGGCCAAATTGGAATGATTGAGATTTGAGATATAAATCTTAGGTGAAAATCAGAGGATTTTGGAACAATTGATAAGGCTTGAGATTGAATAAATTATTTAATTGAATCTACCATAAAATTAATAGCATTTAGCAGAAGCTGAGAAGAACACAAAATCAAGGATCTCAAATGGCTTGGAGATGAATTTAGCTGATGTAAATTACAATGTGAATTTGTTTGTAGTTTATGTTAATGTTTATTATCTATATTAACTTAAAACATTTTTTGCATTGTTAAAGATAACCGTTACCCTCAATGACTAATTCTTGGGTTGTTCGTCTATTAAATTTGTTGGTTTTTGCAGGGTCGGTGTGTCATTTGTATGTGGCCTAATTCATAATGGAATTTCCTTCTTGAAGCAGCCTAGAAAGATCAACATTTGGTACTTGATAAAGTGAGTTGCACTCTCTTATACAATGCAATTTCAACAGCAATTAGGTTAAAACTTCTTGAGTTCGTAATGTACAATACCAATAATTATGTTTATTTATTCTTGGGATTTCTGTTGAACAGAAGCCACAATGATCCTAACCAAAGATATTATGGTGTTGTTCTCTTTGACCATTTTGGGCCGTTTTCTGTTTTCGATTTTTCAAAACAGTGAAAACGTGTTCTCTTTTCTATTTTTGAAAACACGTTTTTGAAAACGAAGAATTTGTTTCTACACAAAACAGAAAACGACATTTTCCACGTTTTAGACGTTTTCAGTGGAAAACAGGGGAAAAGCTGGAAAACACGGAAAACACCCAAAACACTTTCTTCCTTCTCTTCTTCCAATCCCATGTCTTCCTTCTTTCTTCCCGACATCAACGACCCATTGCTGGCGGATCCCCACACCACCGGCACCCCCTCGTCTCCTTATACAACCTCCGACCATCGCCTGCCCACTAGACCGTCGGAAACGCCTCCAACTTCCCCATTCGGTGGACAGATTTGGGGATTCAAAGTCCAAGGGTACATTGATGGAAAAAACAATAGGAGGCTCGATGATTGCTTGAGATACTGCAATGTAGCTGGGAAGAAAGCTCTCGAGGGTACACATCTTGGAGGTGATAGACTCGAGAAGGTATGATTAATTTACGATCCTTGTTGAGAAAATTATACGGAATTGAAGGTACAATACATTTTTAGGAACTTGAATTTGGAATTGTTGGGGAAGTTTATGAGTGTTCGGGAGAATTATGTGTTTATGGCAGACTATCAGTTGCAGGGGAATGGAGTGAATTATCATATTGTATATTTGTATCGGTTTTCTTGGAGGAGTTGAAGGAGGCGAGGTTTCCGGTGAGCAAGGAGGTGGTTGTTGTGACCTTTGGGCCCTTTTTTGCAGTTTTGACAAAGAGTAAAGACAGGATTTTGGTGGGGAAAGTTACAAGTTGTGTGTTTGATGAGTTACTGAAGATAGGCAGGGTGTTTAATTCCCAAAGGTCACGTTATTCTACTTTGACAATGTTTAACAGATTCTTTTTTCAATTCATCTACGATCCTTATTTCTATGGAACTCTAGTCCTGCTTCCAAGTTTTGTATTCCCCTTCCGATATTCTAGCAGAAACGATATGTGATTTGTGGCCTCTTATATAATGCTTTGTGGCATGAAGTTTCAATTATAATTTCGATCTACCAATTACTAATGTGATGTGTAATTGAATTTGAAGTGTTGGACGTACACAAGCTTTATATAAGCAGTCCTTCACCAAGAAGCTTTTTCATAAAAAAAATATAATGGAAATGTTTGTTTCACTAGATTATTTAGATACATATACTTTCTTGGAGGAAAACGTCTCAAGTCTGTGCAGTAATTGTACATCATGTAGTTCTTTTGCACCAATTTTTTAGACAATTCCGTGTTACGGTGTGATAAATTTTCTGTGGAAAGTGATTTATAAAATGAGTTTGAATTTGAGGCTTGATGATTAATAAACTCTATCAGATTCATCTTATTCATTTGGCATCATAATTTGCCTGTTCTTAATTTGTTAATCTGATTACATATTTTGCAGCCACCATTTGTAAGGTTTAGTATAGGTGTATTCCCCTTGCATCTTGGTGTATGTTGAAGTAAAGACTATGCTTGATTAGGGTGTTTTCTTATAACTTCATTATTACCCGAGACCTTGCAATAGACCTTGAAAAAATGTATGAATTAACAAGAGGACGAGGCTTACTTTAAATATTCTTTGTTAATTAACATTTTATTTGTCTCTTATTCTTTGTGAACAAAGTCGACTTGCTTCACAAGGGGTGGCGACCGGGCACTGTCCTTGTGAGTTGGTCTTTACACACTATGTTTTTAGGCATTCTTTTTATAAGTTTGCATGCTTGGCTATAGAGGCTGTCCAGTCCACCACACAAAACATCAAGGACAAAATGGTGCTAAGACCGGGCTTTTCATGTGCACTTATGATGATCGACACATTTTGACACTTCTAACTCAACTCCGTCCATCCCCCCTCTTCTAAATGATCCTTATGCTCCATGTTTTTTAGGTCCATGTGAATCCAAGAAAGCTACTAAAGGTTGATGCCACATTAGATTATGACTATGCAGGACCCAATCCCAAGCATGATTCAAGAGGAAGAAGCGGTGGCAATGGGGGCAAGAATCCTTGACTCTTCTTGCCCTTCTATCAGATAAATAAAAGAATTTTGGTCATGTACTATGAGGAAAATCTATCTTAAATATGAGTTTTCTTTTGTAATAGATATAAAAGCTCTCTTGTTGGGCTGATGAAAAATGTCATAAGCATGAATTTAAGATGTTTTGACTATGTGATATGAGAATGATGAATACTATTGTTGTTTCTGTAAACAAACAAACCGCTGAATTAGTTTGGTATTTGTTAGTTTGATTCATTTGAAGAACTTCTAATTTCCTTGATTGCAATTTGTGAACTAAGGATTTGCAAGGTTCTGATTGCTGCATTATTACACGTAGATATTGCAAACATGGATGTCAATGAAGTATATGGATATTATACCTTGTCCTCTTGAAGGATGCCATTCTTTTTATTAATGATAAATTACTTTTTTTGATTAAAAAA